TGCAAAAAATTATTCTTCAGGCTAAGAGCTGCTGGAAGCAACGATTAAGGCTGTTTCATTTTCTCTATAAGTAATGTGAATTGTTTTTTGACACAAGCATGAAAAAATAAAACCAGGAATAAAAGGTATTTTTGTTATTGTTCAAAATCTCTAATAAATAAAATCCTTTACAGTTTTGCCTGAGACAAATTATTTATATGCATATATGATTATGGTTATATATTCTTATAAAACACATCATTCTAAGTGTGTGTGTGAAGGTATGTTTCTGTGTGTTTCTTCCTTGAAGTGTTTCTATTTTTGGACCTTATGTTACACCTGATTAGCCATGAAAATCAGTCACCCTGTGGGCTTAGTGGCCTAAACTAACCTGAACATACTTCTCTTTCCCTCTCCCTCTCTCTCTCTCTCTCTATCTATCTATCTATCTATCTCATATTAAAAATCTCAGATAATGAACAAGGCTGCTTCTTGCCGCTAACAGCAGCTCACGGGTCCCGCATGTACCAATGGCGACATCACTGAGTTAGTGGAGGAAGCCTTTTGTTCATCAGCAGAAATAAATGAGCATTACCGGGAGCACACAGGAGCCGGGAAGTTGGCAAATTAACGTTAACAAACCCATCGACAGCTTGTCAAGCGGAATTAGGCTGCCACCTAGTGGGAACTCTGGATCATAGCAGTGTCTGAGGAAGCTAGCATGTCCGCTGGAAAACGGCAGACACCGGATGTTTTCAGTAAGTGAGTTTTATCTGGTGGAGATATGATGTCCCAGTTTAGAGTCAGGCGGACACATAATTAACACCGGACCTACATGTTGGAGAGGATGAAGTTTGCAGAGTAGAACAAAACAATAAAAACAATATAGCATACAGCTTTAACCCGAGTAAACAGTGGGTCAAAAGAAGATATATAAATAGTCAATTAGTCAAGATCATGTTGCTCTGTTCACTCCCAAATTTTCCAGTACAACAATATAAATTCAGGCTTTACCAGTTCAAATACTTTCATACAATTTATCTTAATACAGAATTATATTAATGTGGTTTTATTTTTAACCTGTCATGTCAGTCATGTCTTTCTGAGCTTTGACTTGCAAAGCAATTTTCATTCCACTTCAAGGTTAAAGACTACCGACATATTTGTAATTTTTTCTTTTGCATCACTTTAGACACATTTGAATAACTAATAATTGAGTGGATTACCCGTTTCCTTTATTACCCAACAATTCGTTCGTGCGCAGTATGGTGCAGTATCTTATTTAGGGAATAAGTCTAATTAAATTATTCAAGAATGCAGTTGCTCTGAAACTTAATATTCCTCATGTACCGGGTGTAAATATGATATGACCTGGACTGCATCCCACAGATGGAACCCTGATGCCACCTTGTGGTGATTATGTCAAGCTGCATCTATTCATTCCAGATAAATAATAACCTGCAAATTTTAACATATAATAATATTAACAATAACAATAATTTAAAACCGATTTAAAGGTGTTATATCAAAACCAATTTCAAAACCATAACGGGGTCCAAATACTTAATATTCACTGAAAAATCAGCATAGATTTAAACCTTGCAAACATTTTGACATTTTTACACATACGACCCCTGGCAAAAACTCTTGGAGGATATTCAGTCAGTTGTTTTCCTATGTAGTCCAAAAAACAAATCACAGATATGACACAAAACCATTTTACCTAACAGCTGAACATGCTGGCTTTGTGAAACATACCTCAAAAAAATAAAATGACATTGTTCCAGTTAATGGCACATCTTTTTTTCATATGAAGTAGAGGGAAAAAATATGGAATCAAGAACAAAAAAAGAACACAATTAGTACTAGTACTTTGTTGCACCTCCTCTGGCTTTTATGACGGCTTGAATTCTTTGAGGCATGGACTTCACTAATGAAAAACAATATTCTACATCAATCAGGTTCCAACATTCTCGTTCTCAGTTGACAGATCAGCTTTTAATTGCAACAATGTCATTTTATTTTTTGGAGGTAAGTTTTACAAAGCCAGAATGTTCAGCTGTTAGGTAAAATGGTTTTGTGTCATATCTGTGATTTCTTTTTTGGACCAAATAGGAAAACAAGTGACTGAACATCTTCCAAGAGTAGTGATTCCATATTTTTTGCCAGGGGTTGTAGACACAAGACTCTCATCTCACTCAAGCATGGGCATAAATTAAGGGGGGGTGTATCCCCCCCTAATAAACCAAAACCAGCTAATACAATCCCCCCCCCCAAATAATCATGTTTCCCCCATAATGGGTGGAGACCTCAACCACCCCAATGTTCCAGCCAAAGTTACGCCCTTGTACTCAAGAAATGAGTCCAAAGTCAAAGACTGATTAGGAGGCAAGGCTCTCAGTGTAGAAATACAGGAAAATTGTTTGTTGAATTAGTAGTATTATTTTATAATTTAATTATTGAGTGCACTGAAATAAGAATTAAATGTATGTGTCCAAACATGAACTGAACACAAGACTGCATTTTTCATGCTCTCACATTGCAATACCTACTTTTCTGACTTATGGAGTATATTCAGATATTTTGGGGAAAAAAGGTATTATTAATCCTCATTGCTTGAAAATGTCCCAGGCAGCACGAGAGGGTTATTCTCACAAACCCACTGACTAACAGATCAGTCCTCTCAAATTTCCAAAATTAGTTTGAAGACAGACTCAAATTACACAACTTCATTCTCAACCACTTGTCTGAGGCCCAGTAGCAGCCATGAACAGCCTTTTGTAGGTCATGGAACTGTAGCAGGGATACGTACTGAGGTCCGTAATGGACTGCCGCCCGGATGCAAACCTGATTGCAATTGATCAATAGCAGACATATATTTTACTATGTTTTTTTTTTTATTTATTTATGTATTTGTGATTTGTTGTGTTAAGTGACCTTGGGTGTTTTGAAAGGCGCTGAAAATAAAATGTATTATTATTATTTTATTATTATTAGCCTATCACATGCAATTCACAATTCCACCCAATCATTTTGCAGTCTTTTAATAACAGACAACCTACTATGCTACTATTTTACATTTTAGCGGACGACCTCCCTGCCCCCCGCTTTGTGTCTCAAGTATTAAGACTGGGAAAATGTGAATTGGGACTTTGACTTTCCCTGCCAGCCCCAGGAGGATGGGTTCCTGCTCTGGGTCGGTCCGGTTCCTCCTAAGGTTTCTTCCTGCCACTGTCGCCTATGGCTTACTCACTGGGGGCTTTGGGCGGGGATGTGTAAAGCGCTTTGAGACAATGTAATGTTGTGAGAATGCGCTATACAAATAAATTGAACTGAATTGAAAAAATAAATTGAATTGAAATGCTTTTGTCCAAAGTGACGTACAAGTGAGGCAAATAGCACGTTGCAAATGTTCATACTATGAAGGAGTCGGCTAGGCATAAATGCAGTTAGGCTGAGCTTCCAGTGAATGTCTAGGTATAAACGGTTTTGGAGAAGGAGCTACACAACTTCTTCCAAACAGAGCAAGACCCTGATAAGACTATTCAAGAACTAGAAGTGCAACATAGGAACATTCAGGAAACAAAGAGGCATCAGGCTAGTAGAGGAATTCGTGGAACAGATGGGTCTTGAGGTGTTTCTTGAAGATAGAGAGGGAGTCTGGTGACCATTAGTAGTCCAGAAGCTCATTCCACCATCTGGGGAACCACACAAGAGACCCACCTGGAGTGACACTTCTTGCATGATGGAGGGGTCTCCAAGCAGTGTTGGTTTACTGACCAAAGGGGGCGAGACGGGACATAGGGCTTTGGGTAGGGATGGGTGCCTGTCCATTGATGGACCTGCAAGCCAGCACCAGTGATCTGGCCTTGATGTTGGTGCCAGAAGGGTGTCAGCGAAGGGAGGTGTGACATGAGAACGTTTAGGTTTAATGAATATCAGACATGCTGCCACATTGTTCATGTTCTGAAACTATTTAATGGTAAATGTAAATTCTATGGGAATTTTAAGCAAAAATTGTCCCTTGAAGTAAAGAAATAACTTTATATCATGACAATTGTTCAATATTGTTTTAAAAAAATAATTGCAGCAAAATATTTTGTCATATTTCCCAGACCTACAGGGTCTGAACTATTTGTTTGGTCTCTGGGTAGTTTGCTTATTTCATCAGCTTTATTAATCACCACTTATTTCTGCAATAAAAGTATTTCAGCAAAGATGAGAAAAAACAGCACTGATTTCATTCTTATTTCATTTTCTGTAATTTGATCTTAAAAATAAGGAAACCATTAGCGTATCTGGGAAATCATTTCAATTATTCAATCAGAGCAACAAATGACAATTGCTCTACATACACACAAATAAAAAATAAAAAAAATCACTTTTTTTTTTTTTTTTTATTCTAAAGTTTGTGAGAATGACCCAAGAGAGAAAACCTATTTAAAATGCAAAAGAACATATTGGTGTGAACAGTATGTATTATTTTCAAAAATTACCTCAGATCTTCAAACACTTCAGGGATACTAGAAAAATGTCTGATTTGAGTCAGTAAAATTAATGGAGAAAGGGATCAGTAGTCTAACACACCAAATTCTACAGTGGACAGAAAGGAGTTGAATTTGACATGGGAATTAGGGCTGGGCGATATCATATCGATATTATCACGACATCTTTTAAAAGAGGAGATCTTGTGGATAAACAAGGTAAAACGACGTCGGCGGTGTGGTGGTACTTTTTGCAGTTCAAAGTCTGACACTTTTATTAAACGTAAGGATATGCCGTAATTATACTAATAATGACTTTTGGAGGTCATACAAAGCCTCATTAATATTTTAGCCATACTACTAAACTGCTTAAATTATGGGCATAAATAAATGTCCGTATAGCACCGAAAGGCTGGCGCATGGCCAAATGTTGCGTCTGTCATCTGAAGCCCTAGTGATTATTGCGCATGCACGATATAATATCGATATGATATCGCCCAGCCCTAATGGAAATACATCTAAGCTCAAATTCCAATGCAGAGTTATGCAGTCAATGTTTATTTCAAACTGATAAAGGCGAAAAAAAACAATGTTATTTACAAGAAGGGTCAAGCCAGGCATTTAACCAATAACTGGTTTTTAACCCACAGAGATTCTTTTTTAAGAAAAGTAAACTTTTTGATAAATGGTCCATTTACATTACTCATAAAATAATACACAAACCATACATTTGGAGATACAAACACACACATCTTCCGAAACCCTGCAATACTAGCCATTGACATATTGACAATGATCCAACTCCATAACATATATAAATACCTCAGATTTCAGTAGTTTAAATTTTTAATCTAAGTAAATTATAAACATGAGTTATGAAATGTCTCGTTGATTTTTAGATCAAAAGAGTTTAAACTTATATCATGGGCCATGAATAATAAAAGGTAACGAGAAAATAAGTAAAGTATGACTAAGGGGGCGTGGCCTTTGTTTTATCACATTCACATGCCGACTTAACCAAAATTTAGAGAACAACTTATCAAACCCTAAATTAAAGTCTTGGCACTATTATAATAAAATGAGTAAAACCATTAAGAAAGATACCAAATAGAACTAAAAGTTTCAGCTTTGTTTCACTGAAAATGAAGACAGAGCTCATGGTGTGACAATACAATCCTCACTCACCATAGAGTTGTAATTGACTGGAGTTGCATGTTAAAGCTGGTGATGACAAATTTTCTCCTCGGAGTGTGTCACAGTGTCTTATTTTTAAATGGAGTGATTTAATCTTCCAGTTCTTATTGTCAAATGGGGAACGTATGAGCCCAAAGACCTGCTCAAAAATGCCCATAAAGAAACATTCCTTATGAATGGTCCCAGCCACAGCCACTACCACCAGTCCATGTGGTGAGGCCACACATTTCAGGCCATGAGGCTCAAGGTTAGGGTTAAAGAGAAGTCTTTCCTCTCTAGCCATGGCCAGGAGACGAAGGCTGACCAGTTCTGCCCCTTGGAACTCATCCAGCTGCTCTGCTTGCATGGTGGACTGGAGTTTCAGACATGCATTCTCCCAGAAGTGCTGTGGACCCCAGGGCTCAGGGGGCTGATCTTTAGCAGGGTTCTGAGAGTTCAGAGCTTGGAAAAACCACTGACAAAACGCCTTCCCCAGAGTCAAGTAATCAGATACATTCACATTTGAATTGTCCTCCTTTTCCTCTATGGCCGGCCTTGACGCCTATAAAGAGAAACCTTCATTAGGAAACATTACTAGTCCACACACTGCATTAGAACTTCTACACAGTGCACAACCTACATCGAATACACTGAGATACAACGTAAATTTCACGGCTGCACCGTAATCACCTTCCCGGAGCGCCACAGCTGAAGGGTGGCCTTCACTAGCTGACTCTTCTCAGAAGTGGGTGGCACGACAACATTCTGGGCCGCCAGGTACTTGAAAATGACGTCTCGGTGCACCTTCTTACGCTTTAGCAACTCCTCGGCATCCTGACTGTACGCCAATATAGCCTCCCTTGCCTCTGCAAAAGAACGATATCCGATCATATACCTCACGGCCAAGGATATTTACTAATATGGAAAATGTTAATGTCGTTTTAGTCATATAAATAAGGACTGCGACATCGAAAAATATCCAGTTAAAATATGGTGCATCACTAGAGAATAAGTAACTATCTACATATTCTACTCCTTACAACGGAAGTAACACATAACTGTCAACTGAAACCTGAATCATCCGCACCTTTAGCGTTTGCAACCGCGATCATTCTGTTGGTTACCGTGTCGCAAAGACCCCGCAAATCAGCCTCCGACAGAAAACCTAAAATCTGTATAAAACCATCACGCTCTATGGCCGTCAGGCCTGCCATGATCGAAAACTTCTTGGTCGTTTTTGGTTTTACGATAAGGTGTGTTTTCGTCTAAGTCCGTCATGTCAAACGTTCCGACTGAAAAAAAAACACCTCCTCATTTAGGTTCCTATACATCATCGACTGCGAGTTGAGAGTTCGGTTGCAATCTCCTGGTGCTCGTTTATGCGACATCATAAGAATCCCGTATGTAAAGTACTGTGTACTCTTTGGCAGTCAAAAGAAATGTTTAACGCCCAGCCATTCCGTGTTTATTCATTTTCACCACCAGCTCATTTAATTAGTTAGTTGTTTAGTTAAAAAAAATAACGAGAAATTGATTAGTTATGCGAGGTGTGATAGTGGTCGACTCAAAACATACATGGGTGTATTTTATGGTTGCTGCAAATACTGGGGTGATTTTAGCACGTTTTGAAATGGCTAAACTGACACACTTTGACAGACATAATAGCATAGCTTTACACCAATATGAAGATCATTCAAACATTTTCTTTGGCTACCTAAGATTTTGCATAAGAATACTCAAGAAACTCTTAAAAGCCAGACTCATACATCCAACACATTCGTGAATATCTCAAAGATTAATACACAAAAAAAGGAACAGAAATATGTAATATACTAAATGCTTAATAAATATAACTCATGTTAGTCCCCATTTTAAAAATTAGGCTAAGCACTGTGTGGTCTAATGCCCCTTTGTCACTTAAGAATCATTCAGTCTTATGAAACTATGGCATCGCCTCCACTAAGAACCAATTTGACCCATGAAAACAAATGGCCTTAACTCGTATCTATACGCCCGTCTACCAAATTATAAGGACAAAGTGAACATTTTTCCACTTCTAAACAGGCTGCTGCACAACGGCACAAGTTTTTTTTTTTCCCCTACAGGACATAACCTGACACAAAATGAAAGATCAAATCTTTATCACAACCATCGTATAATTAAATAGATTGCAATAAAATTACAAAAGTTTATTTCATACATTTGTATATTAAGTGTAATAACTAGCATGAACACATTTGCAATTTTAATGTACAAAATGTGCAATACCTAAGATGTATGCTGTTTTGAGGGGGGAAGGGAATTTTAAACACTGATGTCAGAATAGTGCGGCTTGCCTTCTTAAGAATTTAACAAGATACACAAACCTCAAAACACTTGAAATTTCAAACTGTGAAGTTCACATATTATTTAACCTGGACAGCATTTAGCAACTTTATTCTATATTTTCTTTGGTTTAAAAAGGTACATTGTATCTGTAGGAAAATACAGTAGAAGAGGATATTCATTTATATATAGAAAATAAGATTTTATATACATAAAGACACAAATCCAAACATCCACTAAACTATTCCAGTGACAATGGTCTTAAGAGACCAACACCAGGACACACAAGGTTTCTCAGCCAGTAGTACACAGAGTATCTATACAGAAAACCAACATGTGGGGGAAAAACATGAATTGATAAGCACGTTATATTCATAATCATAACTTTAGATAATGGTGCTTAAAAATGTGTTATGTCAACAATGTCATATAAAAGCATTCACATGCATGATAAAAACTGAAAAATGAATTGCAAATCAGTAAATGTAGTTTTTCCTCCACCAGTACACATCAATTTAACACAGTTTAAGTCAGTTAAACTACCAAAATTTAGCCACAATGAAAGGATTTATTGAGTTTGGAGTATTTATTAATGTGTCACTTCTTAGAAGCAGCATCAGTCCGTTGACATCTATTCTTTGACAAATCCAGAAAAAAAAACTATGAAAAAGTAGTGTTGTTAGGACAAATCTCTGCCAAAATGCACATTTGACCATTTAAAAAGAACTAAGAAAAATACAATTATTTGCCAACTTTGGGATTCTAATTCACTTCCATAAAAAAAAACAAAAAAAAAAAAACACACAACTGTACATTATTAAAAACAAAGATGAAAAATCGGTTCAAACCCCAAGACGCACTGAATTCAATTAGTGTTCAATGGCTCCTATTATTTTAGAAGACCTGGAATATTCTGCTCCAACATAGGAATTCTATTAATATTATGAAATGATTGAAAAGAAAGGCAATGAAAGAAGATTCTGCTTTTTTGTCCAAAAACTGCACAATCCAGTTATACATGCAGAACCTACAGAGAAAAAAAGGTAAACCAATACTGAACAGTCAAAACAAAGAAATGGACATAAGAAATGCTTTAATGTTAGTTGAACAGCAGGATAAACACTGGGTTCACACCAAATTCTCTTTACAGGAAAGGGTACGTCTAAATTGTAAATAGTCCCCGTCTCAAACACTGGAACCACCACATATTTTAATAACATTGTCTTATTTTGACCCTTTAGAAAACATCTTTGCATGAAGTTGACCAAGTAGTTCCAAGCACTTCATAGTATGTCCTTTTGAGTGGGGGGGGATTAACCATATACATTCTGTTCCTTCCACTGAAAACGGCAAATGAATGCTTGTTTTTTTTCTTTAAAAAAATAAAAAATAAAAAAAAAATAAAATAAAATGAAAAGAAAAAAAATAAATCACAGACACCTAGTGCCTCCCAGAGGCAGCCATGAAATGTGCCCTTTGCAGTCTTACTCTTCCCACATGTCAGTCTTCAGTATTATAAACCCCTTCTAAGGTGCCATCTGAATCTCTCTTGACTTTAGCTTTGCAGATGGAGTGTGCAGACAGTTGCCCAATCAAAGTTTACAAGAACAAGTAGATTCTTCACTTCTGCATCTTGGAAACCAGATATCGCCACATGCTCCATATTTCTATCTACCAGGCACCTGGGAATTGGCAAAACACATACAGAGATTACAATATTACCCAGAAAGACCTACCATTCAGTTTCATTCAAAAATGCCCTACAGCTGAAAAAGCTAGATTACACAAGAATACAAGTTTATACAGTGAGACTTACTTTCATCATCAGAATCAAAGCCAAAGAGAGACTTGCACTTGCTGGAAGAGAGATGGATCTGCAATGCTTCAGCACTTGGGAAAGAGGAGAAGCAGTTTGTGCATCGCTGCCTCTGAGTGCTGTGGCTTGGGCTGTTCTCTTCTTCACGCGACGGTGGGAGCACGTCTGAGGACTTCCTCCTCTTGGGCATGCTAGTGTGACGCTCATCTAGATAGGCAGTCGGCGGTGGACGCATAAAAGGCTTCTTAGACGTCTTCCCATAGGAAGGGGCTGTGTGAGACGTCTCCTTCTTCTGTCCCTCCGTAGTACATTCTGGTGTTCCATTGCTTTCTGTATTTACATTATTGTTCTCCCGAGTCTCCTGCTCTCTTTGTCCTTCAGGGCACGTAGCCTTTAGCGGACTTTGGGTGGAAACGACAGCAACCCAGTCCCCATTTTTGGTGTGTCCATTCACAAGCTGCTTGTTTGAGGCAGTTCTGTCTACATGAACGTCGTCATGCTTTTCTGGCATTCCAAGTGAAACCACTTCTTCACCAATATTCGTGATACCGTTGCCAGCTGGACAACTTACACCCCTCTTTGCTGATCTGTTCAGTGATTCACAAGCAGGTTCACTCACAGTTGCCGTGCATTTTCCTTCAGCCTGGATGTTACAGTCACCAGTATTGTGGTCTTCTTGAGGAGGCAGGTAATGCTTTTGCTCATGATGATGCAGCCTGGCAAGGTGGCAGAAGTGCTGTGAGCAACCAGCAAAGTCACACTGCGCTTGAAGCGGCCGGTGTCTCTTCATGTGATCCCTGAGCTCGGCATGAGTCTTGAAACGGAGCGTGCAGTCAAAATGATAGCATGCATGTTTCAGAGGGTGCTCATGCCTTTTAACATGATGCTGGAAATGCTCCAAACTCTTAAACTCTCTTTGGCAAAACTGGCACTTTCCATTTCTCCTTCGGAAGATATATTCCAGCACTTTCATGTCCACCGGATGCAATTTCATTGCATGTCTGAGAAGAGATGACTCATTTCTGAAAGGGGTCTTGGTACATCCACCTGCAGGACAATGGTGTCTAGGCTTTCCACTCTCATTTTCATTCATTATCTTCCTGCTGTCCACAGACTTTGCTTTCCTGGGATTTGAGAGCTTTTCTTGCATCTTCTGGTCCTCTTGTACTTTACCAACTTTCTTCTTGCGCAAAGAAATCCTGTGCTGCCTGTCAGTTGTAGGTTTCTTTTTTCTGGAACTTGAAATTTGTCTGGACACCTTTGGCCCTGCTAACTCCTTGCTGACATTCCTCTGTCGTGTGGAAATCCTGTATGCTATTCTTGTGGCAGATTTGTTTTTGTGCTTATCATTCGGAGGCGACGGTTCTGTATATGGCGAAGCTTCGCAAAGCCCATTTCCATGCACAGAGGTAATTTTCAGTTTTTCAATATGTTCCAACACATGTTTTTTTGCTATGAGACGGCGGTTAAACAATTTTCCACAAAACATACATTTCAGTTTGTCCTTTTGTAGGTGAGCAACTGCATGTAATATTATATTACCACCCCTGAAATTCTTATTGCACAGTTTACAATAATGACTTATGACAGGATTCTCAGCTTTAACATGACCATCCACCAACGGAGCTTCCAAGTCGCTTCCTAAAACTGTTTCTTTAGTTTCTTCCAAGGTGGAGGTTTGCACTTGCTTTCGTTCAAGACCAACTACTGAGAGCTGCATATCAGTAGGGACATGGGAAGCGTTACTTTCTATAACAGTTTCGTTAGGGATAGCTATTTCATTGATCTGAACGTGGTTAGTGCCGTCAGAGACAAATGCATTATCAGCAACAGTGACAGTGTTATCGGAAGCACCAGCTGTGTTATGAGGAGCAGCTGAATAGCTGCTGGGAATATCCTTTTCAGAAGCATGAATGTGAAGCGTGTCATCAGCAACTGCAATTACACTGTCAGTGACAATCTCCTCTACCACCATTTCAACAGTCCCTGGTTCTACAGTGTCACCTTGACTAAATGTTCCAGCGTCTACAAAAACTTCTACAGTACATTCTGGCTTTGTGATTCCAGCATCACAGATTGAATGAACGGTAGCTTCTGGTGACTTCTGCAGGAAAATCTCTTTTTCTGGCAAAGTACACCCACGCAAAGTATTATGCTCTACCAGCACCTCCAGTGGACATCCAGTGCATTCAGGGTGACTTTCTGCCAGGTCACAAGGTAATGTTGATGGTGCATCGTTTATGACTTCAGAATCATCCTCAACAGCTTCCTCAGGAATCTTGCAATAGTTGTGCAACTGCAAAATGGCAGCATAATTCACATCAACAGCAGCCTTCCAAAATGTATTTGGCTTATCGGCACAAGACAAAGCAGAAGACTTCAATTCATCCAGAGGCTCTACAGCAGAGTCGCCTTCCTTTTCACAATGTTCTTCAAGTTCTTGGAAGCTTATCTCTTCCTGGGCAGGTGCCTCTAAAATTGAGTCTGGATGAGATGTTGTGGTGGACTGCAGTACTTCTAGCGACTTATCGCCAACCTCCTCCTCTCTGGCAGATACTTCTAGACTGAAGTCAGGTTGAGATGTGCTAGTAGGCTGTAGTTCATCTAGTGGATTAACGGGAAACTCCTCTGTCCCAACAGATACTTCCATACTGAAGGCAAGCTCAGGTGTGCTTGTGGGCTCTAGCACTTGATGCACTTGCTCTCTGAAATGAGAATCAGACACTACATTGTCAGGAAGGGAGGCCTCCACCATAACACCATGACCACAAGACACAGATGGGTCGTCTGGGAGAGGCATGGTCTCTAGCACTGTTTCCTGTACAGCTTCACATGTTACTTCTGTCACTGAAAGACAAGTCGCTTGGGTATCTGTCTGCACCTGGGTTATCTCTTGTCCTTGGTCCATTTCCACTGTTGTGTTTTCAAGGACTGTATCTTCCACTGAAGGTGACTCAGTTTTGTCATCAAGACATTCGACTGGGTTAGGGGCCTTGTTCTGTGCCTCCTCAACAGATCCTTCCTGAAAGCAATGTGGTTTCCGGCCACGTCGTTTTGCAGCGTTTTTACCAGCTGATCTAGTTAGGTAACTACTGCCATAGGGTTTGACAAGATTTTCCTGAGTTATGTCAAGAGTTCTGTAAGAGCATCTTCTTTGTGGGTCATCTAATACCTTTATAACACGTGACCCTGGTTTCCTTCCCCTTCTCTTTACACTAGAGACTGTTGTAACTTCAGGAGGCACAACTATTCGACGCATAACAGGCTTATTTTTGTTCTTGACAGGCTTCTGAAATACTTTTCTGGTGTACAGCTCTGATGAGTCATAATGTAATTTATGTGACTCCTTCTCACAGTAATCTGGTATCCACTTTTCTTCCTCCATAATTTCATTCAGAGCAGTTTTCATGACCTTCTCACTCATCAGCTTTAAGCAGTTCGTCCTCAGGGTGATAAGGTTCCAAAACTCAGGGTCAAAAAACAGTCCCTTTTTCAATATTTGGAGGATTTCGAAGCGCATGTGGTTTTTTATTGGGCTGAAGTCCACATGGTACTCCTGGTCCGGATGGGTGTAGAGAAGGTATACAGTCTTATAGGACTCTACAGTGCGTTCCTGGAAGAACACCAAGAGGGCACAAGCACGACAGACGTCCAGGTCATTGGGCAGCAAATAGACGATGGTCTTGTAGATTAGACAGCTGGCGGTGGGATCATCATGGAGGTCCATTTGAAGGGCCTGAGCACACAGCTCCATGCAGAAGTGCAAGCCTTCATTCCCCAGCTGTCAAACAGAGACCAACAAGCCTTACAATTCAATTCAACTGCAAAAAAGGTGATTTTTAAACCGAGTCAGTGGGACTGATGCAGCCACCAAAACAATTCAGGCCCAGCGGTAATTACTAACTTTTCAGAGATAACCTTTACCACAAATAAATGCCAGGTTTGTGCTGTACATATATGCAATTCCCTTTACTATACCCGTGAAGGTGTGTGTGACAACATATAGCCACACACACACACATCTAAAGACCATTACTTCTAACTGGTCATGACCAAATCACAGTATGAAGAATTTCTACCTCAACATACAGCTTTACACACATCCATATTTAAAGCTGCATCAGACAGTTTGATATTAAAGCACCGAGGTGAAGAAAAACATGCACTATGATGCAAATCGCCACTAACCAAGACAGAATTTAAAGCTGCATATGGAGTGCAGCACTACACATACAGTCAGTGTCAGTCACATCTCCACAAACAGAATGATCGCTCACCTCAGCTGTGATGATTTTCATAAAAGGGAAGATGGACCTGACATTTGTCGCCAAAGATATCAGCTGATGACATTCCTCAAGGAAGTCCTTCTTAGAAGGGTTTGCCCTGAGATGCAACTTGCTCCATATGAAAATGAGGTCCCTAAAAGAAATATTAAAAAGGTGCCCAAAATAAGTTTGAAAAGGATTCACAGGATTTAAAAATACTTAACGACCATATAAATACTTGACAACTCACCATAGATAGTACATGTCTCCATTCCTGAGCTGATGAGTTAGGAAGGCTTTAGAGAGAGCCAACAGCAACTCATCCTTCTCCTCACTCTCACAGTTACAGATAATTTCCACAGCATCTCTCCCATCTATCAGTGCGATCTGTGGATGTCCAAGCATACCGAACTGCACATGAGACAAGCATCTCAGGCAAAACGACTAAAATATATTCACACAATTTGATCTGAACACATTTAAATTCATATAAAAACACAGTGTAATTCTACAGAAAACAATTTAAATAGCCACTACCATCTCAAAATTAGTCATAAGCCATTCATAACTTCTTAAACGATATTTTACTGTCATGTGCTAAAGCAAACACCAGGCCATTTCATTTATTCTTTGCTTTTAGGAAACTGAACCACAAAGACAAAGGACTTTTAATGCAAGTAAGCAGTAAGGTAAGAGACCAAGAATGGTATCCAGCAAATATCACAGCAGACACAGTGTACTGGACTGTGATATGGCATTCAGCAGCATTCTGACACCAGCCATCAGGGAGTTTCTCTAAACACAGCGGCAAAACATGAATAATGGCCAACTATGACTATCAAAGCCTTTAATGCCTCAGCATGTGCATCAAACCTCCAGAACACTGTTTTTTCATTACTGACAGTAAGTAGCACTGTCGACACCTCCAGGGTTTGAATCCCACCACTGCTGTGTGTACACTCCTCTCATTAGGTTTGTTCCCCATGATAAATTTCACAGATTTCAGAAAAACACTGCGGTATACCAAACATACAACGGCATACACTGCCCAAGCCAAGCTCTCATGCAACTCTCATATGACACAAGTGTCCTTTCAAAGACATACAGTGAGGCAGACTGGTGATTCTAAACTGACCATAGAGTGTGTGTACACCCCAGCCCTGAGCTACCGGGGACAGACTGCAGGTGACCCAAAGACGGATTATGGGTTACAAGATGGATGCATAAATATTCAGCAATACTTGTACACTGTTGTCACTTAAGCCCAGATCAACTGGATAATTGTTTTTTTTCTAGGCAATAAACACTGGGAAATAGGAATTAATCAATTAATTAAGTACTTTAAATACCAGTGCACTTGACTGAAGAGGTTGTTGACAGTCATGCTTTTGGTTTAACCCAAGATTCCTAATTCTTGTATATACAGGGTAGCAAATAGGAAACCACCATGTCAAAGTGGGCAGCATTTACAATGAAGCACAAAAACAATCTAGTAAAATGGGGTTTTATAGGCTTATTAAACTAAATGGAGTGTCTGGTCTAAATGTTGATTTTTTTTTAATGCTCTACAAAGTATGGTGGCTAAGATTGGCAGAGAAAGCTTTTACTTCTCTGCTGCCTTTCAGTGGGAATGACAAAGCTTAACAGAAGAAGAATGGATGGAATGGGCACTCTATCCTCTTACAAATGCTCCTTAAAAAGCCTGCTATTGCCTTAAATTTTCACTATCCAGCAGGACACCAAAATGGTTTATTAAAAAAATGCCCTCACACGTCCAAAATCATGACTTGAGAACCTATAGGAATAACTACCTTGGGTTAGCATTTCAGCTGGGCGGGTCTTCCCAAAGGACAAGTGAACATGGAATTCTGCCTCTGAATGTCTTTGTTGGAATTCTATGTAACCAACAATTATACCTACTTTCCTTAACACATATATTCCCCCCCAAAGCACCAACACCAAAGCATATCATATCCTACCCCCTTCTGAAGATGGTCGTAGTGAGATGCTTTCCAGAGACACGTCAAGTAGGCCTGGTGGAAGTAGAGATGTTTCCCCAGCTCAGGATGCTCTAAGCAGCACTTGGCCAAGGCAATGGCCTCTTGGGTTCGGCTGCAAGCCAGCAGGTAACGCACGCGGAGCTCAAAGAAGATGGGAACTTCAGAGCTCAAGTACTTCTCCACTGAACAAATAAAGACACAAAAAAATCTATATGAACCACATAGGAGAAGGAAGCAGGAAAGTCTAATTAGTTCTCAAATCTCTTCAATGAAGTCAAGTAGCCCCCGACCCAAGAGAGTGAGACACCCCCAAAAGAAAACCAAACTCCTAATGATTTCATAATTATCCTGCAGAAGCTGCAACTGGGCCAAGCTAGACAAGAATTCCTCATGTTTACAGAGCAATTCCAGCATTATGGATGCAACGTTTAGACATATTGACAAACAAAATACCTCAGAGCATGGACAAGCTTAGTACCAATGAGTCGATTTACATATATTTTCATGTCAGCTCTTGTGCTGAATACAGACAAATCCGCAAAAATCATATATTAACTTGTATATTAGAGATACATAATAGTGTTTCTTTAGTGTTGTGGATGTGACATCAAAGACATTTTTGCATGGAACTGCCCTACGAGTGAGTATTCAATGCTAACTAAATGCTAGTATTTCATATCAGAGGAAGGGATACTGCACCCTCTGCCTGGGGCTGTTCTGCATCCCTCAGAATAACCTGGAGGACTGGGGGCTCCCAGGGCCCCCCACCTTCAATGACCTGCCTGACAAGCAACAGGTAAATATTGTGGTGCCTGGCAAGGTGGGAGTGACATTCCTGTAGAGGAAGAAAGAAAACAGAAGTAGTCCATAGTCCCACCATCAAGAGGGCAAAAGAGCAGATTTTCATTAAGACATTTCAAAAAGTTCCAAGAGGCATCATATACCAGGAAAAAAAAGGTATATACACTAAAGAACTTTCAAACCACATTAGAGAAAAGTACATATGTGCCACAGCCCACCTGAAACGAATTGAGGATGTCTCTTAAAGGAGACTCAAGGAACTCTTCTTTGCCAAAGAACAGCAGCAGTTCAAAGAAGCTCCTGCGAAGGCAAACAGGAACCAACACAGAATAGAATAAGTTTTCCCGCATTAAGTGTAAACAGCTCAAAGCTGGAGAAGGACAGGGTGGTGAGTATGTGGCAAGCGGGAGCTACTCACAGGGCGAGGCTGCTGAGGGTACAGTGCACGGGCTCGCACCCCGGGGGAAACGAGGCAGAGGAGAGGCAGAAGCGGCACAGGGCTGTCCGGAGCACCTGCAGCTGAGGCAGCGGCACACGCCAACGGCCCGTGTGCTCTGTCACCAGCTACACACACCGGGGAAGTGGGGGGGGGTGGGGGATGGAACAGGAAGTGAAAACTGTGGAGAGGGCTTACTTTGTTTCTGCCTGTATAAAACACAGAACTTGCGCCACTTAGTCCTGAAACAGTCTAGTGAGGTATTTCCATATGCACTGCCATGCTCAAAGCTGCTGGGAGCTTGAGTTTCCCCTTCATCACGTAACACAGAAGTTATATTTACATGGAAGCTCTTATGGAAGTTTCACAGCAATAATTGCCAAATAAAAACAAACATTCCAGTCATAGTTGCCCACAGAAAAAAAAAACAGAGGGCCTGAATATGTATCTTCATGCATCTCAAAATAAAGCTCACTGGATAAGTGGACCCTCTCCGAGATTTACAAACTCTTCAGAAGTTACATAAAGGGGGTAGGGGTTGTGGTTCATTATTTCACTCTACACGTGTTTCAACGGATATTTAACAACAGCTATTTACCAACAAAAAAGAACGATGACAAATATTTTCCTGTCGGTTAACAATTTTTACCAGTAACACCGCGCAGAAAACAAGCTTCAACAGAAGAAAGAGCAGCTGGATCTCAGTGCCATTAAACTCTGTTATGAAAACATGATCCGTGCCTAAAAAACACCGTGCTTTTCAATTACTATAAGCCAAACTACGATTACTTAAATACAATCTAAAACAAATACTCAGTAAAACATGACAAACACAATAAATACTAGTAATCCTGCTAATTGATGATGCTATACAGGCTTAGAAAAATAACAACTTTACAGAATTTAATGACTTTGGGTCCGAATACTGTGTCTCGCGTATTTTTCTTGTCAGCCCGCGCAGCCTTTTGTTTTATTCCCCCGGAGAATCGTTACAAACAAACAAACCGACTTAAAGTACGGACAAGTAAACAAGGTAACCATTAATAGTTGAGTGTGCGCGACCCTGTCTATAAGCATTGAGCTGCTGGGGAGGGTGGGGGTGCAGAAAGGGATCCCGGCGTCGGACCGCGTTTTCGGAGCTTTCGGAGCCGCCGCACATACCTCGCAGAACCCGGAGCAGTAGCTCTTGCACTCCGGCTGACGAACCTGCAGGCGATCCAGCTGTTCTCCGAGCCTTTCGGACTCCGAGTCGCTCTCCCCTTCCGCCATGCCGCTCGCTTCACCGTGCGCGTACGACGCCGACGGCCAGGGGGCCCGAGTGAGGACGACTTCCTGCCCGGCCCACCGGCTGCACGGCTGAGACAAACCCCCCTTTCGCTTTCGCAGCACGTCCGCCTCGCTCCACCTTCTCAAAACAACTTCAACGGATGGGCTTTATACGTGTCTGTATAATCATTTTATATGATAGCCGTCATCTGCTTTGCCTGTTCACTAGTACTCAAGATTACTGACTGAACTGTGACATTATTCGCTTCTTGTTCAGCATTTTACAAGCAGTAGGTTGCAGTACGGTGACGGTGCGTGGAGCAATGTTTAGCTCTGCTGAGCAAATAGGAGACGGCAAAGAGGCCAATCGCATTTTGCGTTGAGTTGCAGAATTCAACGGATTGGGAAAATAGCAGTGCGGGTTTCCACGTATGATTTAGTGACAAATCCGAAATTTTTATCTTGACCGTCCTGTTAATATTTGTGGAAAATTGTAATGAAATTGTAGGTTATTAATATAATTAGGAATGTTTGTCGGGCACCGCATGCTATGTAATGAATGAAAATGTCGATTAAAGAGGGTTTTGGAAAAGTGATTTTAATGTAGGGTGAACTATGCAAAAGTGGGACACATCGGTAAATCATTTAGAAAAATCTCATGAAAGTCATTTGCTAATATTTTTTCAATTAGGTGCATGTCTCCTTAAAAAGCTTTGTGTGAACATTTGCGTAAACAATCTATGCACAGTATGCAGCCTAACATTTAAGAGTTAAATAGGATGAAATATGGAGAGGCAGTTCTCATTTCTTGATGAGCATATACACTACTCACAATAAGTTAGGGATATTGTGAGAGACTTAGTGGATGTCATACATACGGTGTTTGTTTCACTTCAGACATTTTTGGGATAGGGAGGCAATTGTATTGGGGTGATAGACACACCTCATTTTGTGTTTTCCATGTAATGGTCTCATTGTGTACAGGTGTGCCTTAATTATTGGGGCCAATACCAAAAGACAATCTTTTTCAATGTGGCATCAATTTCAACATCCTGTGGGTATAAAAAGCTGGTATTGTCAGTAAGTCATTCCAAGTTCATCATTCAAACAGCCATGAACACACAACGTCATTTAATGGACGAGCAGCACCACCTGGCCATGGCGCGCCTTCGGGTCGGTGGCAGGCAGTCAGATGTTGCTCGTGAACTTCATGTGTCTCAAAGTGTCATCAGCAGACTTGCATCAAGACACAGAACTACTGACAGAGTTCAGGACAGACCCAGGAGTGGAGCCCCATGAGTTACAGTCCGCAACGATGACCAGTACCTAAGGACCTATGCACTCAGACATCGTCATGCAACTGCCACACAGCTGCAGGCCTGTTTACGAGATGCGCGGGGTACTAGGGTTTCCAGACAAACCATTCGCAACCGACTCCACCGCTTTGGCTTGAATGCCAGACGACCGTTGCAGGTGACTCGACTGACACCAAGACACCGCCGAGAACGTTTGCAGTGGGCACAAGACCATGTGACCTGGACAATGCAGCAGTGGTCTACCGTCCTGTTCACTGATGAGTGTTGGGTCACCTTGCACAGAAATGATGGTTGTCAGCATTGCTGGAGAAGGCAGGGTGAGCGATACGCTGAGGTCAACATGGTCCCCAGGGTTTGCTTTGGTGGAGGAGGTGCAACAGTCTGGGCAGGCATCACCAGTCAGCGCAAAACAGATTTGGTTATTGTACATGGCTCAGTCACTGCACGTTCTTACCTCAGAGACATCATAGAACCCATCATCATCCCCCAATTCCACCAGCACACCCCCAACTTTCTGTTCATGGATGATAATGACCCACCACATCG